ATGACTTCTTCCAGAAATTTGAATGGCATGTCCAAAGAAAGAAAGTTGCACAATGTTTACTGTGCTACATAAGGTTTGCTCTAACTAACTTTAAAGTAGGTCACAAAGCATGTTTTCTGAGTCTGCAAAACTCCGCTGAAACCTGTTGACTGTGAGTGAGTCTGCTGGTATGAGACACCATTGGTAGTTTCCAGAAACACTCAAGCCCACTGCTGCTGAATCAACTCTGACTCACAGTTACTTTATACACTGGAACTGCCCTGTAGGGTTTCCATGGCTATTTAAGAAAGCCAATTACCATATCTTTTTTCTGAGGAGTGGTTGGTGGATTCACACCACTGACCTTTCAGTCAGCAGCCATGCACTTAACCACTGCACAATTACAAAATCAGACATGGTGAGCAGAAACAATGCTATCACCTAATAAACAATCCATGTTCAAATTTCAGCAATTGTCCTGGAAAACTAAGTCGGTTATAGTATCTTTTTCCCTTGTCTAGGATTCACATGTGGCCTTTAGTAACAGGTATCTTTAAGCCTTTCACTGTCTTTTATGACATTGAAAATGTTAAAGTTCAGTAGAGTTATTTTTTACAGTGTTCTTCAATTTGCATTTCTCACATTTAGATTCATATATGCTTTAAAAAAACACCAGAGACAACTTTGCAAATCCTGATTTCTCAGTGCTTTACATCTATTTATCATGCCATTGTATCCAATAACTGGTGATGATAACTGTAATAATTTGGTTAGGGTGGTGTTATCTATCAGATTCCTCTACTATAAGTATGTTGTTGTTGTTGTTGTTGTTGTTATATGTCACCGAGTCACCTACAACTCATAACGACCCTATGTACAACAGCTCTGAAGTCTGTCTTATACTGAGCCAATCTCACTGACTCTGACACACCAACCCCCATTGCCCCAGTTATTGTACCAATCTATCTCATCCAGGGTCTTCCTCTCCTGTGCTGACCTTCCACCCTTCCAAACATGATGTCTTTCTCTAAGGACTGATCCCTCCTACCATGTGCACAAAGTGCTGTATGTATGCTATTGTTGTTGTTATGTGCCGTCGAGTTGCCTGTGACTCACGGTGACCCTAGAAACAATAGCCCTAAATGCTCCTCTATCCTATGCCAATCTTATTGTCTCTGATACACCTACCCCCACTACCTCAGTTACTGACTCAATCCATCTCATCGAGGATCTTTCTCTCTTGCACTGTCCCTCTACCCTCCCATGCATGATATTCCTCTCTAATGACTGGTCCTTCCTTGTAACATGTTCAAAGTATGTCAGACAAATCTTCAGAATTCTTGCATCGAGGAGCAGCCTGACTTTACCCTCTCCAGGATGAACTTGTTAGTTCTCCTAGCAGTCCATGAATATTCAATACTTTTCTTCAACACCACAGCTTAAGGGCATCAATTCACCTTCTATCATCCCTAGTCATTGTTCAGCTTTCTGATACATAGCAAGTAATTGCAAAGACCACAGCCTTTATCAGGTGCACCTTAGTCTCCAGACTGACGTCATTGCTCTTCAGTGCTTTAGAGAGGTTCCTGCCAGCAGACTTTCCCAATTCATCTTTTAATTTCCTGGCTGCTGGTACCAAGAGTGATGATTGTAGGTATACTAAAAAAATCATCTATGTAATGAAGAAGATGAGTGCCTGAGTCATGCAAATGGTTAACACCCTCAGCTGCTTACTGAAAATTCATCTAGGGAAGTCTCAGAAGAAAGGACTAGAGATGGTCTCAAAAAAGTCCGATGGCCCTATGAAGTAGTTCTCTTCTGACACATTTGAAAGCACACAAGTTGGAACTGACATCCCAGCAAAGGGCTAATGAGCAAGAAATTAGAGGAGACTTTGAGACTGTGTATTTTGTTTCTCAGCAAACTTACACCCAATAATTTTAGCATTTATAATTTTTGTCTCACCAGTTATTAATAAAATAGGTACAAAATTGTAATTTCCTGATTTCACTGAACTTACACATGTACACATTATTGATACTATTGACACTTATTGACAATCTCATTGTTATTGTTGTTATGTGCTGTCAAGTCGCCTGCTACTCATAGCAACCTACTGTACAATAGCCCTGAAACCTGCTCTATCCTGTGCCAACCTTATTGTCTCTGACATAACTACCGTCATTACCCCAGTCACTGAATCAGTCCATCTCATCAAGGGTCTTCCTCTCTTTCGCTGTCCCTCCACCCTTCCAAGCATGATTTGCCTCTCCAAGGAATGGTCTCTCCTTGCAACATGCCCAAAGTATGTCAGACAAAGCCTAAGAATTCTTGCCTCCAAGGAGCAGTCTGGTTTAATCCTTTCCAGGATGAATCTGTTTGTTCTCCTGGCAGTCCATGGTATATTCAATACTCTTCACCGAAACTTATACTTGGACCAGGATGTAGTCATCAGAACAGGGCAAAGAAACATTGTATGCTTCAAATTCCAGAAGCGTGTATGCCAGGTATGTGTCCTATCTCTATACCTTTTCAATCCATATGCAGAACAGATCATCTGGGAAGCTGGGCTCTATGAAGAGGAATGTGGCATCAGGATTGGAGGAAGATTCATCATCAGTCTGTGTTATGCAGATGACACAATCCTGCTTATTGAAACTGTGGAGGACTTGAAGCACTTGCTGCAGAAGGTTGAAGCTCAACATCAAGGAAACAAAGATTCTCACAACTGGGCTGATAGATGGTGAAGAGATTGAGATTATTAAGAGCTTTCGTTTGCTCGGCTCCACAATAAACATTTTGGGTATCAGCAGCCAGGAAATAAAAAGAAAAATTGTACTGGGAAAGCCTGCCATCAGTGACATCTCCAGAGTATTGAAGAGCAATGATAACAGTCTGGAGACTAAGGTGCGTCTGATCAAGGTCACAGTCTTCACAACTGCTTGCTATGCATCAGTATGTTGGACAAGGACTAGGGATGATAGAAAAAGAATTGATGACTTTGAGCTGTGGTGCTAGATAAGAGTACTGAATATATCTCATTATGAGATTTTTTAAGTGTATAAAAATAGTTTTTAAAATATTATTATTTTGCATAATAATGATGCCCATCTGGCAGTAACAAAGGCCAAGGTGCAAGGTGAGATTGAAGTTATGTGTCATGTTGGTTGGACTATGATTCTTAATGGTTTGGCAGTTGCATAGAAGTGTAATCAGGCAATTATGCAGTGATGTAGTCATTTTCTATTTTAAGATTTTAACTGGGTTGGTCTCTAATTTAAATGAGGATTAAGTATATTAGTGGGCATTTTGCTAAGTAAAGGAGAGATTTTGCTTCTCCTTCCTTTATATATTTTTATATATTCACTTAAACTCTTGGAAATAAATTTCTGGGAATAAATAACTCTAACTCATTGCCAGTTAAGTCAGAACTTACAGCTGACTCTTCACTGGTATCTAAGGCTGTGAATCACACAGGAGGAAATTGTCCATCTTTCTCCAGTGGAATCACTGGAGGATTTGAGCCAGCAGAGAGACTAAACCACCTGAACTCCCTTAAGAGCCATCAGTGCTCCTTTAAGAGTAAGTATAGATTCTTGGGTTATTTTTCAATGTGTTATAACTCACTTTTATCACTGTTCTTTCTTCATGCTTAAATTGCCCCAGATTTGACATGTGGGGATCTCTTTCAATTGCATATGCAGCTAAAAGTTGGACAAAGAATAAGGATGACAAAAGAATCGATTCCTTTGAATTGCAGCGTTGCCAAAGATTATTGAATATGCCATGGATAGTCAGAAGAATAAATGAATCTGTCCTGAAGGAAGTGCAACCAGAGTCCATCCTTAGAGGCAAAGATGGTGAAACTTTATCTAATTTACTTTCAGCAGAGCCTGGAAAGAGACATCATGCTGGGAAAGGTGGAAAGTCAGTGAAAGAGAAAAAGACCCTCAAGGAGATGAAATGACACCATAACTACCACAATGGGCTTAAGCATGGTGGAGACAGAGGATGACACAGGATGCGGCACGTTTCAGATCTGTTGTTCACAAGATCACAATGAGTCACAGTCGATTTAAGTGATGGCACGTAAAACCACAACTATAATAGAGTGGTATTTAGAAACCAAGTTCTGGAGTTCTAATATATTTCTAAATATTGAAGGGGGAAGGAATCATTATTATTGTTGTCTTGAGTAAGGAGTCACAAGATAAACTTAAGACTGATTTACCTGCAAGACCTGAGCCAGTTTCTTGACTCTTTAGGGCCTGATTTTTAACATGAAAATCACTAAGGTCTGATATGTCTTTTTGGATCATAAAAGTTTGGGAATACGATAAAAGCCATGTTCCCATCTCTGAGAGGCATACTCAAATAAACAAAGCTGTGAAGCCTCAAACCTGCGGATTAAGAGATCGCCAAGGTCTCTTCAGCGCTGACATTCTGAGTCTTTGCAGAGACGTGCTGCTGTCAAGAAAGATTCCTTGGAGACAAACCACATGTGGAAGAATTTCTACAGAAGGAAGATGAAGAAGGAATGCAAAGAAAGGAGCCTGTGAGCAACGCATTGCTCAGCCACCGGTCTCTGCCTTGCCAAATGTAGGGTGCGTTGTACTCCTAGGTGAGAGCTTTTGCAAGGACGGACCCCAGTGGGCGGAAATAGACTTCAGGCAGAATCCAGGTCGCTGCACCCCTCCGCACGGCCCGCAGGGCTCGCTCTTGCCCTTCGTCTGGGAGGCCAAGGGCTGGGCGGGCCGCGCAGCGACCCCGCCTCCGGCAGCAGCAGCGGGCAGAGGGGAGGGCACAGAGCCCGGAAGGGACGCGCGGGGCAGGCCCGAACCATTCCCCACCTCACCGCCCTCCCCCGACCCCTCCTGCCGCCGACGTCGGCGGTGCTCCGGTCGCCATGGTGACCATTCGAGCCCGGTCCCGCCCCCGCCCCCTTGCCCCGGCCCCCTGACGTCGGCGCACGTCAGCGGCGGCGCGAGCCTGGCTGGGCCCTGCGGAGCGGGAGAGAGGGAGCCCCAGAGCAAGCGCAGCGGCTGTCGCCGGAGCTCGAGCCCGCTGCCCGCCTGCGCTCCAGTCCGCGGTGTCTAGCACCGGGGCCCAGCATGGTCATGGCGGATGGCCCGAGGCACTTGCAGCGTGGGCCGGTCCGGGTGGGGTTCTACGACATCGAGGGCACGCTGGGCAAGGGCAACTTCGCCGTGGTGAAGCTGGGGCGGCACCGGATCACCAAGACGGAGGTGCGGCCCGGGGCGCGGGGGGAGCGTCCGAGCCGAGGGTGTGGGAGCGGAACTGTTTACTTGAGGAGGTGGTTGCTGTGGTGGGACAGGGAGACCCGGGAGGCCGGGTCACTGGCTGAGGCCAGCGGGCCCGGGACAGCGAGGACCCCGGAGGTTCAGGGGGTCTGGAAGCACCAGAGGGAGCGGGGCCCCGTCACCCGGGCTCGAGAGTCGTCCGGTTGGAAATTTGCTTTCTCTCCACGCCACCCCGGGTGGCCACCCGGAATCTCCCCAGAGCCTCCCACCCAGGCTGGGACCTGGTATGTGGCCTCCGCACCGGAGCCCAAGTTCCGCGTCTTCCCTGCTTTCGGCGGGGGGTGGGGTGGGAGGGGAAGTCTCCGCGCTCCCGGGCTGCGCGAGGAGGGACGTCGCCGGCCGAGGGGACCGTCTGCGCTCCGGCCCCGTGGACCGGGACCCGCGCGGCGCCGGGGACTGACGGGTCGCTGCCCTGCCTCGCGAGGAAGGGGCCCCTGCGCCCGGGAATGCCGGGACAGCCACTGTCCATCTTCTGTCCCTTCGCTCTCCCTAACGCGTCTCTGATTTGATTGGAGACAAGCTTGATCTCATGCCTGAGGCATTTCCATCTAATACTCCAGACAATAGAACTGGTTAAAATGGTCACCTCTGTATTTGCACAATTGGTGTATTGATCTTTCCTATCGAGAGTTGTCACTTTACCAGGTGTGCTAATGGCTCTGAATACACACGTTCCTTATACAACAGCAAATTATAGCTCTTTACTCTTAACCCCTCATCTGCTTCCTGATGGTGCCTGCAGGTTCACCCCTATCTATCTTGCACATTCTAATGCATTGCATATATTTTCTCAAAAGTCTTGTTCCTACCTAACTCACCCCCCCCCCCTTCTGCCACTGCTTCTAGCTGCTGCCCTCAGGATTTCTATTTTAAGACCTATAATTTAAATACCTTCGGGGTGGGGGGGGGAGGTAGAAACAAAGCTATTCTTTAGAATGAAACCTTGTGTTTTTGATGTTCTCATTTTTATTGGAGTTTCTTTCGCTTTTCTATTCATTCCTTTCTCCTCTCCCACAATACTGCAAATCTATTAGTTTGATTGTGGAATAAAGTTAATATACTTTGTCTTTCCAGGGGAGTTTTTTGTCTTGTGTAAGGTGAAAACTTGACTGGGTTTTGTTGCTGCTGTTTGTTCATTGAAATTTTGCTTCATAAGAAAAAGCCTGTTTCCTAAAAGAAGGGAATGTGCCCTCCCCTTTCCCCCCCACATTTTACCGTCTTCCACTGATCCTAAAGCATCCTAAATCTGACTTGCTTATTAGCATCACAACTAAGATCATAAAATTTTCTCTCGGTATATTAACCTGTGTTTGCCATCTAGACTATGTATGTCCACTCAGATCTCAGCGTTTTTAAAAAACGAGGAAAGAAATTGCCCCCATCCCTCTAAAGAACCCTTCTCTAACGCCATGCTAACACGTTGCTGTCGTGTCAGTTCTTAATTATATCTCCTTTAATGATATGAGAAAGCTTTCTAAATGTGTGCTTTGAGTTTTTGCTCATTGAGTGTAAAAAACCCTCAAACAGATTGTGCATTAAAAGATTCTACAGAACTTTTTAATTCAGTTGTGTGGTGGAATTTCAAGCGCATCGTTTATAATACTTTTTTCATTGATTCCTATAATTTCTGTTTAGTAACAAGATTTGATTACTAATCAGGTCAAATTCAGGTAATAGCTGTTGAGGGGTTGCTTGAATGGAGCGCTCTTAAGGCCAGCATTCCAAGGACGTCCCACTTAAAGCGACACAGCTTTTCTGAGAGGTAGGGGGCACTATAGAGTAGTATCATCTTTAGGCTATCAGATAGATGAGATTTATTAATGCATTGATAATTCAAGGCACAGGCCAAATCATGGAAGAGCACTCAGTTCTTAAATTATGTGTGTGTATATGTATATGTTTGTGTAAAGTGATTTAAATGAAAAGTTACATTACTGGTCCATAAAACTCATCTCCCTTTGGCTTTTTTTTTTTTTTTTAAAGACACCATTAACATATAAAAAGAAATGCAAACTTAAGAGAAGTGAATATATTGTCATGATTTGGTGTGATTGAAGACACTTAGTCTAAGTGACACAGAAGGTTAAGTGCTGGACTACTACCTGAAAGGTTGATGGTTTGGACCCGATTAGAAGCCCCTCAGAAGACAGACCTGGCTATCTGCTTCTAAGATATCACAGCCTTGACACCCTATGGAGTAGTTCTGCTCTGCACACTTGGAATTGCCATGAGTCAGGACTGGCTTGATGGCAGCTAACGATAAGGCAGTGAAGAGTGAGGAAAATAGCAAGAAAAAAAAAAGAGTTCCTGTCACTCCTGACTTTTATAAAGTTGTACTGTGAACTTTTACAGGTTGTTTATGTTAAAAGTTATTTAGCAGTTGCACATACAATTTTTTTTTGAGGTTTTTTTTTTTACAATTGTTTTTTAAAGTAGGTGTTATCACTGAGTTTTAAGCATTACTTATTAGCTTAATTAATTCACTGGACAAATATTTGTCTTGAATGGATAGAACAGTTCTCTCAAATGTTGAAAAGAGAAGATGGCTAGTGGGAATTAAAGTTGAACTTTAAATTAGTGTATATTCTCATCATAAGTTCATACTATAATAATTATGGTGAGAACAATTAACTTGACATAAAGAATTCCCCAGCTGGCAATAATAGCAAGATAACATGAGGATAAAAGCTACTTCAATATGATAATCTCATATACTAATATATATTTATGTTTTAAAACTTAGAAGTCTTTTTTCCCCCAAGTTTGAACCCAAGGCAACTTTTATGGCTTAATTCAAGCATCTGATTGATGAACAGTTGGACTTTTTTCGTTTTTAATTGGCTTTTCTCTGGCTACATCACTGTTCCCCTCCCCCGGCCCCCCATGAAGCGTTTCTGTGGACTTTGCCCCAAGTCAGTTTTCTGTTTAGGGATAACAAAATAGAAAAGACAGTTTTGTATTGGTCTGACCTATCAAATCACATAACACTGTTTAAGAAATAAAATTACTTAATCATCTGAAGCCGTATTCATTCTTGTGTCAGATCTCTATGTAAATGTTACACATAAAAGGGAAGGCAGATGGTGGTAGAATACAGCTTCCTAATATAATACTTAATAAAAGCTTTGTAGTATGGGTTTGTGGTTTATGAATTAGAGATGCTAATTTTATAAAATTAGCATAATGAGAAAGAATAATAGCAGTTAGGCTGTTAAACTATTTTAGGCAGTAGTGGTTGTTCGTTTGCTATTCTTTGAGTGTCCTTGAGTGGTGTTTTATTTTATTAGCACTGTACTAGGAATGAAGTTGTTCATTTAAATTAATTACAAAGCTAAAAAAAAAATTAATTACAAAGCTACTTTTGAGTTTGGGGGGTTTTGTTTGTTTTCAGTCTTTGAAATAAAATTGTAGAAAAACCTCTTATGCCCCTAATTTTCTTCTGGTTTTCTGATTATTAAAGATAAGATTACATGGGATGCATAAATAAATTATACTTTTTCACATATTATAGCCTAAACATTTTGCTTATTGTGTATAACTTTATATAATGTTTTAATTGCTGCATATTTTCCTTTGTGGGTGACTCTTACTTTGATTGGATTACATTAACATAATTATTCATTTCCAGTATTTCACTTAAATAATACTGAAATGAACATTTCTGTATTTAAAACCCTTTATCTCCATTTTTCTATTTTTGAGGATAGAGGTAAATTACTAGAAAAGATATTACTGAGAAAGTACTTTAAGGAATAATGTATTTTTTAAGTTGCCAAATCTGTCGTGTTTATTTTGGAAAAATTAGACGGTGTCAGTATAGAAAAAGGAGAAAATAATCACCTTTTAAATCATTTTTCACAGATAACCAGCATTCATTACTTTAAGATCTTCTCTGTTCAGGATTTTTCCTTAACACCATACTTCTTTTATTGTTAATTTGTGGTTCATTGATTCTTTTTTTCCCGTGTGACTTACTGGTTTACCATTCAGTCATTCATACATATTTTGTTTTATAGCATTACTTATAAAATAGACAGTGTAACTGCATTCTTCTCGCCTCCTCCCTGTGATTTTCATTTCCGTTAATCCTTCCATTCTATACCTCTCTGTCTTCTAGGCCTTACCTTGAGTAAGGGCTGCTGTGTGGCCTTATGGTTGCTTACTCTAAGGAGTGAGTGCCTCCTGGTCACCTCATAGGCCTGTTACTTGTTAGGCTGAAGGTAGAGCCTTGCAGTGAGTTTTATTTCAGGTTTGAAAGGTGACTAAGGACCATAATCTCAGGGGTCCCACAAGGTCCTATTGGACCAGTAAACCTTTTATATATGACAAAATGTGGAACAAAACATACATATACATATATTGTCATACTCTATCCAGAATCTTCCATTGTGATACTTTCTAGAGTGATCAACAGTGGTATCATAGAACCTTAAAGAGAGTTTAGAGATTCTAAAAGTTACCTTATTAAAGTGGCCTGCAGATGTTGGGCAGTTTCTCCTCTGGAGAACCTGGAATGCAGGACTAAAGTCAAAAGACATTTTAAAAACTGCTTTTGTTCACAGGAAAGCTTCCTGGGCACATTTTCAAGCTTTCATAATTAGTCATGATTCTTTAATTACTACCTTAAATTGTGAGAATTTTTAAAGCTTTCCATAAATATGAAATTGTATTTTTATAACAGGAGTTAAAATATCAAAATTGTCTTTTTATAACAAGGTTACAAACCAGAGAAGGACTTGATTCCACCCTGACTGACTACATTGGTTCTTGATTAAGACAAGTTACTTTTTAATACATTTACTATATTTGTTTGAATTTTAAAGTTTGAATCAAAATATTAATCTTTGTATTAATCTTGTTCTGTGGAGTATTCTTGATTTTGAGAGGCAGCTGTGCTGTCTGCAACTTGACTTTTTACCTCAAAA